TGAAACGCATCACAAGAAAACATTCCAGTATGCCTTTTTGTAAATACTACTGTTTGTTGATATATAAAATTGTGCAAAATTATATATCGTTACATCATATATATATATATATATATATATATATATATATATATATGTGTGTGTGTGTGTGTGTGTGTATTCATATATATATATATATATATATATATATATATATATATATATGTATGTATATATATATATGTGTGTATGTGTGTGTTTGTGTGCGTGTGTGCGTATGTATCTGTGTGTGTGTGTGTGTGCATCTCTGTGCTACACAAGTAATCACATAGGAAGAATGACGAATGACGGCTTAGAATGATCTCACAAACACACCCATTATGATCTTAGATGATTTCATGTTTCTGCGTTGATCACTTTTTTATTTTTTTACAATATATATATATATATATATATATATATAGAGAGAGAGAGAGAGAGAGAAAGAGAGAGTATGTTTTGAACAATAGAATATATTAAAAATATTGGGTTTTATATTAATATTTTTTTCTTTACTATTTCAATTAGGTTCCATGACTATTTTTTTTTAATCGTTAATTTTGGTCAGGCCTAGTGTTGGTCAAACAGCCTCTTTTAAGTTGTTTTTAATCTAAATGATAGGCAATTCCTGATTTTCAGAATACCTTAATTGGTCATTTTTACAGTTTTATTCATTACTGGGAATATGATGTGTATGTTATCTTTTAGTTCTTTGGAAGTATGTGTGATATGTGTATGTGTATAATTTTGTGAGTGTGTGTATAAGTGTAAGGCCACAACACCTTCGAAAAGTATGTGTGGGTGAAATATAAATATATATATATATAAAAGTATATATATATATATATATATATATATATATATATATATATATATATATATATATATAAAAACTTATATTTAACGAGAAACGTTTCATTTAATTTGACAGAGAAGGAAAATGCTCTTTTTTAATTAAGTTTTGAGAATTTTTTTTTTTTTTTTCTTTCAGCGGAAGTCAGGGGTTAGTGAGATCGCTAAAGGAGTGTAGAATATGTCACTAATAATTATTGTCCGCAGTACTTCCGGTTAATTCAGTATCCATTTTGAAGGTTTCCTTGTTTTCCTGCGTTTATGTTCTAAATTCTAAAGTTGGACATTGTGCGAGTCGTAGAAATTCTAAACTGTGCTAGAAGAGTTTTTAGCTGTGATTTCATGTTTGAGTGTTTTTTAAAATTCAGCCAACACGTTACTGACGGTAGTATATATAGTAATATTTAGTATATATATATATATATATATATATATATATATATATATATATATATATATATATATATATATAAGTATGTCTATAATTGTGTGTGTCTTTAAAGGAACGCTGAAGATCTTTCGTTGTAACCGATTTAAACATGTCCGCCGGCATTTATTGTAACCCTTTTTCTTTATTCGGATAATTCTTAAATATCTGCTGGTTACGAAAACGTGTGCATTTATATTGAGGACAACCTGTATATTAAGAAAAAAGCAGATAAAGACAAGTAATTTGAAAGCACTTTGGCTACGCCCATTCACAGACACACGCCCGTCGAAACAGGCAGCATTGCAGAGAAAAGTGTTTTTTTTTTTTTTACTCACTTTGACGCCAAGTTGAAACCATGCGTAATCGTAAGGTTCGTAACAACGATATCACGTGGGGGTCTGGATGGGGAAACGGATCAATTAAGGGGGTAAGGGAGATGAAGACACTTTTCAAATAGTGCAGAAATTTCCAGAAATAAATAATTGCTGCAATTTAATTCAAAACATGGCCGTAAAAAAAATTTAACACATTTATATTATCTCCTCGATTAAAAGCTGAAATTATAAATATAAAAAAAAACGACAAAAATTCGCTTTCAAACGAACATTGTATTTGCACATCTTAATAATTTTCAAGGTTTAAAAAATATCAAAGTAAATTGTGTCTTAGATTACCAGTTACATTTGGTTCCTATGGATACGGGTTGTAGAAAAAAAATCCCAATAATAATAAATATTGAAATTAATATAAACACAAAACTCAAGTTTTATTTATATTATATAAAAACATATAGTTTTATATGTAAAGGTGTTTGCATGTAGAAACTTACTTTTTATAACATCTTATTTAAATTGTTTGTGGAAATGACGTTCTCACTGATAGAGAAAGTTCATGAGTAAGTGAATTACTAAGTGAGGCACTGAAAATATGGCTTATAACTCATTTCCACAAGATGCAAATGTCAATAATATATCTGGATAGAGCAGGTTTTCCGCTAGAAAAATCTATGGATTTCTATGGATTCACGAGCATTGCCCATGCATTTTCGCTAGCAATGAACAATAGAGTGAGATCTGCGCTTGTACGAATTGGCATGAAAAGAGCTGGCCGAATTTTACACAACTGCAATGAATAAGACGTTGAAAGGAAAACGTCGAGCGCCGTTTCAATCTTTCATCGGCCAGAACAGATGAATAACGGAATCCAGTGTATACGATGGCTGTCGTGTTACAGGCCATCCGAAATTTTAAAGATGATCTCTTTTTCGAAACTTGCGTGGATCCTGACTTTATCGTGTTGGAAGCGAAAGATTACTTATCTAGATTGAACCTGGAAATTCGGGCTTTCAGCTTATCCAGCGTCTCTATTTAATGGCTAGAATTGATGATATGTCCGGTGTCATATAGGGCATAAATGAAAAGAATCGTCCGTTTATGTAAATAAGCGGACTTAAGTGAAGTTGAGCAGAACTAGCAATAAATCTTAGCTGCGAGCTAAGCTCTTAGTGCTTGCCGAACTCTCTGTCTTTGGGCAGAGTGGAACCCAGACTAGGTTATACCGAAGGGCAGCGTCTCGTCTGGGGTGGGGGGATAGACATACCCGACCCCGTTATTACGGGGTCTACGGAAATTTTTGCTCGGACCTACGGGCTTGGAAAAACTCACGTTAAACCGGCCTTGTGCCATATCCCGTTCTATGGGGAGCTCGGGTAAATACAGAGTTCTGGTTTGGTTTGCTTTGGTCTGATTTGGTTCCTTTTACGGCATATCAACTTCAATGGGTTATTTAATGCCAACAATATTTTTTTTGCTGGTAATATTTTGTTTTGTCAAATATCTATTTCTGGTAATATTTTTCCTTCAGAAATGTGTTTCTGGTAATAATGTTTTCCGAAAAACTATTGCTAGTAATATTTTTCCCTGTATAACTGGTAATATTTTTTTCTTCAAAAATTTATTGCCGGTAATAATTTTTTTACAAAGTATTTCTAGTGTTAAAACCTATTTTTACACTTCCATAGTGTTTTAAACCAAGTTTGGGGGTTAACTATTTGCCCATAGCTGGGACCCTAACAGGTGCTACCACCCCGGGTCAGGGTGGACCTGGGAACACTAGCAATTAAGAGGTGACTTCCACGCTCCTAAAGCCTCCTGATCAGAGGCCTTTCTGTTGGACGTAATTTATCGTCTTACCCAGGACGCAGATGTAGTTTATCATCATACCCAAGACAGAAATACAGAATTAGCATTAGGTAAATTACTAAGTGTGTCTCCGTGTAGTAATCCTTCTATTTCATTACTTGCCTCTGGTATCTCGAAAACACGAAATACAACATCCGGTTTCCAAGAAATCCCGAAGGATCATCCATTTTCGAGCCAGACAGCACATCACTTTGCTTGCTGTTCACTGCGAGTCCAACTTTTTCTTTGATGGATAAATTGCATACCGTCATTCCAAGGTCAGTTATGATTCTGGCACAGCCAATCCAAAAACCTAATTGTTCAGGTCTTCCGAAATTATTTTTCGAGCAATTTACTGTCGAGCAATTTACTGTCGAGCAATTTACCTAGATCCAGAATTTAGTAACATTGGGTTTCTAAATATGACCCAATTTCATGTTCGCAACCCAATTAAACAAACCTAGATACTACACTAATGCATCAAAAGTACAAACACACACGCCTGCATATCTGTGCATTTATGTCGTTATTCTGACAGGATAAGGTACTGCTTCATAGGGTCTAAGTTGCCTAGAATTATTTTGAAGGCTATTCTAGCAACTTCCAAAGAATGACGGGACCACGACGATTCGCTTAATCATGTATTTATGGAATGTTATGGAGAGGCCTTCTCCCACGCACGATCCTGCCGCTGCAAAATATCAGGAAACTGTTGAAAACTCTCTAGAAAAGAGTGCTCAACATCTCTCCAGAGTTCTTCCGGCCACTCAATGCCATCGAGTTGCTGCACTTCGTCCAATTAGACAGAGTCTTACAAGAAATGTTCAACTATCCTATGATTTTTGGTCATCTCTTATAGACCATTTTTGATTTATAGTTTCTTCGCAAATATTTATGCACAATTTTTTTCGCCCGCACCTGTCTTATGCGATTAGTAATTAGTTCGATGCTCCAATATTAGATATTGTATCAAGTAGGGTATTGTTAGACAAAAAGAAAATTTAAATACACTTCGTTCCATTTGGATAACCTCTAATGACTCATTAAATAAATGGAAGTGAGAAAATAAAATCAATAAAAGAAATTTATGGGGCGAGAGAAACTTAATCGAAGAAAAACCATTTTCAATGATAGAACGTTTTCTTCTTCTTTTTTTAAAAAAGTAAAAAAAGCCAGTTTTGCTTAACGTTGATTTTTTTTGCAGGAACTGAGAGTCTAATGACAATTTAATATTGAACTAAAGAATCTGTGGTGCTCGTTTACATCGTCATAACAACAAAAAGCAGACATCAGGGAGTAACCAGATGGTTAGTATTCTTTGAATGTCTAGAGGCAGAGGTTTTGGTTTTCTTGGATTTCTCCACAAAATGACTTCCTGCTTGAATATATCCTTGAATGTTTATATTATAATCAATCTTTTAGTCATAGAAACAAAAAAAAAATACATTTAAAAATATAGCGTCTATTTTTAAGCATCCACATAAAAAAAAAATCATAGATGAGAGTGATTGGAATTTTACCTGAGTTGGGGCATATCTTTTATTGCTTCCCAAAGTGTGAAATTCTTATAAAACATGAAGTTCGTGATGAGGTGGACAACGCCATTGGTACACCCAATGTTAGCCTGGATTATTTTTACCCAAATACCACCACCGGCGATATAAACATCTGAAAAATGAAAATAGGGAAAAATTATTTAAAAAATAAGTGATTTTTTTAAGGCACATCGATCTTGGATCATCTATAATATTAATTTATGTGTTACAGGTGTTGCCACCATAACAACTTTCTAGAACCGTTTTCATATTCTAACATTCTTAAGACTCTTTGATTTCTAGATACTGTTGCCATATATGGTCATGTGCCCCTGCAGTTCATCTACAGGTTCTGGACAAAATCCAAAGACGGATATGCAATGTGATAGATCCTGACATGGTATATCGATTCCAGTCACTTTCTAACAGACATGATGTGGCTTCCCTCTGTCTTTTCTACAAATATTTTCATGGTAACTGCTCAAACGAGCTGTTTTAACTGGTGCCCCAACTGCGTGAATTTAAGCGAGCTACTAGCTTGGCGTGTCGGTCATATCATTTTACTATCGAAACAGTTAAATGTAACCGCCTCTTCTACTCCAACAGATTCTTCTTTCGCACTTCCCGACAGCAGAACTCCTTTCCTCTTACTTGCTTCCCTGATAACTATAATCTTCAAAAATTTAAATGAAATGTCAATCGAGATCTTCTGAGGACTTGATCTTGATCCCCGTCCTTCTCTTAATCCTTTTCTCAAAAACCTCTCTCTTTTTCTCTTAAACCCTTTTTACACTTTCTCTGTAAACCCTCCTTTTTTTACTCTTAAACGTTTTTTAATCTCTTTTTCTCTCTGTAAACCCTCCCTTTTTACTCTTACTTTCACTCTCTGTAAACCCTCCCTTTTTACTCTTACTTTCACTCTCTGTAAACCCTCCCTTTTTACTCTTACTTTCACTCTCTGTAACCCCATGCGTACTAGTGGCACTCCTGCCTTGATTATTTCAAAAAGTAAATTAAATAATAATTTTATCTACAATATAAACTAGCTTAATATAATTTTTATCCACTTGTGTCAAAAAGGTCATTCGAAGTAATACACTGAGGTTCACTTCATTTCCCGCTTTGCTATGTAAGGATACAATATTGTTTTAAGATACAACATGTATCATTGTATTTAGCCTGGGCTCCAGGTGACTAGGTTCGTCATCCAGCAAATATATATCCTACTATATAGATAATTTATTCTACAGGAGAAATTCGTTCGATCAGTATTATTGCCAGTTGCTTTTAAGTAAATGAGAAAACAAAACGATACATAGGAAGTAAAATGTGAAAGAACGAAAAGGTACATAAGTACTAAATATTCGATTTTTAGCTGGCGACTTTTCTTTCAACTGAATCTGACAGTAGCGAGGGTTAGGGATTCGGCTTGTAGCAACGAAATCACCTGTGAAAAGAGCAATTTTTGCACACACACACCCCGCAAAAAAAAGAAAAGAAATCATAGCAGAATTAATTTTCTGAAAGTTTCCCTGTAATGATGAGAATTTTTAGCGATATCCAACCAGACATATCGTACATTGAGGCAACAGAATGAGCGAAAGTACTATATAACCTTTTCATTTTTTTTTTCCTGAGATGAATATTTGAAGACTCTTGTGATGAGAAAAAAGAAAATGAAAAATAAAAATACGTACCATCTCCATCGTTAATCGAAACAGCACGGATAGTTTTGTTCTTGAGAGAAATTTGGGAATTAAGTCCACGGACACTTTCTGGGTTCCACTCGATATCTGGGACTATATGTCGCGATAAAATCTATAAAAGAAAGAAGGGTTTTTTTGGGGGGGTTTTAAGGTGAGATAAAAAGAGGATGTAAAAGAGAGAGAGGGAGAGGAGAAGGGAAAGCGATTTATAGTTCTTAAAAATGTTTTATATCTGAATTTCACAACGTTTCGGTCGTTGTGCCAATACAGCCTTCTTCAGTGGTCTGTCGATTCGTGTTACCTTCTGTGAATTTCAAACTGAACAAGATAAGATACCCCTACGCATGTGCAAGTATATGCTACCTCCATAAATTAAATAAAGCATTCACTTTGAAATTAATTAAAAGTTACCCATATCGACAGACACCTTAAAAGGCCGGAGAGCACAACTGAAATGTTGTTATAATAACAAAAGAAATAAGTCATATAAATAAAAAGATTTTCATCAAACAAAATCAAAAGATAATTCTCTATAAATACTGTTCTTTCATATTATTTTTCTTTAATAAGGAAAGTATATCCTTCTGACTCGTGTTGCAATTCTCACAGAAACGACTGGTCAGTGTTCGATCACAAATAAATAAACAAGAATTTATGTGCTGATTTTCAAAGTATCGAAAAGCTCACAGACTGTGAAAAGCAATCTATCACATTTCATTGGGATAAGCTTAGAAAATATCAATGTTGAAAAAGGAAGACATTTTTTTTTTTCAAAATATTCCATTTTTTTAAATTTCGGGTTTAAATATTTTGAAAAGGTTTCAAATTTCCTGAACCGGAAAAGAAGTTGACCTTTTAGCAATTTCATTTTTTTTTACCTTCGACTTTTTGATATTCGCGTTTTTTATTTTTTTCCCGGAATGTGTTATAAGATACATAGTAAACAAAACTTTAATTATAGCCACGGTTATTTTGGCAACTAAATATCAACGAATTAAAAAAACAAAAAAACAAAAAACAAACATTTAGAAATGCAAAACATCAAAACAAACGAGCAGCGTCCATGTTTACTCAGAACAGAAACAGCAGATACTGACATCATTATATGAGCGTGTGTGTGCAAGCGTGCAAGTGAGTGTGCGTGTGTGGTGTGAGTGTCTGAGTGTGTGGGTGTGTATGCGTATTAATGTGTGTATGCGCATGAATGCGTGAATGAGTGTGTGTGTTTATGTGAATGGGTTTGTGTGCGCACTCGTGTGTGAGTGAGTGCACTGGCGCCTCTCTCTCTCTCTCTCTCTCTCTCTCTCTCTCTGTGTGTGTGTTTGTGTGTGTGTGTGTACAAACTAAAATTCTACAAATTTGATTACGAGAAACAAGTACTCAACATCTAGTTTCCACCGCTACTTTCGAAGTTGTCTCCACAGCGATTTCATAAATTGTACCCTTCACAAAGTTAGAGGGCAAATAATTGGACATCTTTTGCACAGTTTAATGTCTGTGTGTGTTGCGTGTGTTTGTGTCTGCGCGCGCACGAGAGAGAGAGAGAGTGTGTGTTTGTATATGCATATGTCTTTAGTGGATCGGCACGCACGTAGCTAGTGCGGTGTGTGTGTGTGTGTGTGTGTGTGTGTGTGTGTGTGTGTGTGTGTGTGTGTGTGTGTGTGTGTGTGTATTTAAAGCCGAAAGAAAAACTTCAGATATGGAATTTTGCAGCCTAGAAGGCCGCCCGCCCCCCCCCTCCTCCGCAATTAAAGAGTATCTAGACGTTATATTGCGTCTAATTCTTACTGCTGCAGGCTGTACAGAACTTTGGCTGAAGGAAAATTCGACATGTCGATTTGCGAATGATTTCACCGAAATAAGACATTTATAAAATTTGACTTGTTAAAATATTCATGACATTCAAATTAAATCAAGCACATCTATCTATCTATCTATCTATCTATCTATCTATCTATCTATCTATCTATCTATCTATCTATCTATCTCAGTCTCTTTGTATCTATCTATCTATCTAGCTAGCTAGCTAGCTACCTAGCTCAGTCTCTTCATATCTATCTATGTTCGCATCTATCTATGTATCTAACTATCAATCTATCTTCGTGTCAGTCTGTCTGTCTGTCTGTCTATCTATCTATCTATCTATCTCAGTCTCTTCGTATCTATCTATCTATCTCTGTTCGTATATGTCTCGGTCTCTTCGTGTCTATCTATCTATCAGTCTCTTCGTATCTATCTGTCTATCTATCTATCTATCTATCTATCTCAGTCTATTCGGATCTAGCGAGCTATCTATCTATCTAGCTATCTATCTATCTAGCTAGCTCAGTCTCTTCATATCTATCTATCTATCTATGTTCGTATCTATCTATCTATCTATCTTCGTGTCAGTCTGTCTATCTATCTATCTATCTATCTATCTATCTATCTATCACAGTCTCTTCGTATCTATCTATCTATCTATCTATCTATCACAGTCTCTTCGTATCTATCACAGTCTCTTCGTATCTATCTATCTATCTATCTACCTACCTACCTACCTACCTACCTACCTACTTATCTATCTCGTTCAGTTTAGTGCTCACTGTCATTGAAGTCTTGCACTGTCACTACTTAGATGGGTGATCGTTTGAGTGTACCAGATGTGTTACCTTAGATATGAGGCTTGTGTGTAAGATAACGGCTCCGATTAATAAATCAGAGAGCCACTCCTTTTCAAACAGAATATTTTGAGGTAAAGATCTCTAAAAATAGGACAAAGAATGTTAGGTCATGTCTTTTCCTACGGGAATCGGTTTTAAGTGAACATTAGTAGCTCCAGTTAGAACTCGAACATTGCCTGCTTATCCAAATTTCCTATCCGTTATGGAAGCTTACACGTCTTTTATCCGCTGCCTCGTTCCTGCTCTCTTTTGTATCAGTCTGCCAGTGTATGTGGGTGTTTAACACCCCCCACCAATTGCAAGTGCTGTCAAATCGCACATATTTAATGCCATTTTTTTCCAATCTGCAGCAAACTAATGCCATCTTAATACAGTGTAAATATAGTTTTCCTGAAGCAATCAATGAAATAGAAAATTAATGATTTTTCATTAAGCCCAAGACCAGAGTGAAGTTCAAATAGTTTTTTGTTGGAAGCTCAATTTAGCAAGAATCGGTGCCGGCTTTCTCAGATGCCTCCCAAAATCTTGCAGTGAAAGAATACTTCGTTCAACTTTTCTCAATTCGTTTTTTTATCAGCTTTTTCCCCCTTTTGCCTCTCTTCATCGACTAACGACTGAAACGTTTATCGCAATTTTCTTTAATGCCAGGCTAGTGAATGTTTTTTTTCTGCCTCGGCTATTGGCTGACTGTTCCGCCATCTTAGAAAACATAGTCTAGAATATTATCCCATGAGTATAGTTACCGAACTTTTAAACACAAAACTAGTCAAGGGCATGCTTGATTTTATTTAAGCTTAGCTTTCTATCAGTGGATGCGTAATGGGAAACAAATGCTGGGTAGAAAGATTATATTGCGCCAAGCCTCTGTGCGTTTTACATAACAATCAAACTAACCAAAGAAAACAAACACGAAAATAAAAGAAATAAAAACTATCTATTCGAAGTATGATCTTCACCTACATAACAAAGAGATATTCCCTTGATATAAGAAAGCAATATTGGCGTCGAATAATGATTCTTTTTTCAGAAAATGAGCTCAGTCTGCGTGCCAGATAAATATGTAACGCCAGATTGTTTTATACAAATACATCCCTGATTTTTGGTCACACTTAGCCGGACAAAGCGAAGATACCAAATAGCAATTCAATAATTGGTCTTGGCCTGACATATCAGGTTCCGTCGCTTTCACAGCACCATAACGTGGCTTCCCTGTGCCTTTTCTATAAATATTTCCATTGTACCTATTCTGATGAAGCTTCTTCTTTGGTAACTAGACTTTACGAATTTCAGCGCAGTACTAGATTGACAGTTAGGTCTCATCAGTTTACAGTTGAAATGACTTGATGTAACCGTAAGTTCTATGTTGACAGTTTCTTCTCACGCATTTCTCGCTTGTAGAACTTTCTTCTGGCTCCTTGCTTCAGTCAACATTGATCTTCAAAAATTCAAATGGAATGTCAATTGTTATCTTCTGTCCTCTTAATTATTGTCCTTTTAATGTTCCTTCTCCTTAATAGTGTTTTCTTTATCTCATATTCTTCCACACACAGTAACCCTTTCGTTCCTTGTGGCTTCATTATTTTGCTTGTGGTGAAATGATAAAAAAATGAAATTAATTCTGCAAATCAGTTATGTCGACAGAATCATCGATTGTTCGAAAATGTTAATAAATGTAATTCCACTTATGGCCACCCGATGATTTAGTCTGGCATTCACTTAAAATTAAAACGCTTGCTCGTTTTGTGTCTGTCTTAAAATCGGGGCTGTAAGCGTTTTATCTAATACATCATTATTATTATTGGATTCCACACGTTTGCCTGCTGGAACTGTGTTATCCTGGTTAATAATTCAGACTAGTGTTAATTGGTGAGGAGTATGACGTATTTTTTTCTGTAATCCATGGAGCTATACAGTCTTTAAACTTGTTTCTATTTAGGCTTACGTTTTCTGCATTAAGTACGCTTATTGAGCAAAAATAAAATGTTTTTTATTAATATTATTAAAAGATTTTACAGTTTTATTTTACTTTCCGTCACTTTTCAGGTAACATCCTATTTTTATCCTCAATGTGTTCTCTTTCTCTTATTCTAGGTGACCTTTTCATTAAAAAAAAAACAAAATTTTTCCTATTAAGAGAATTCCATAAAACTGGAATAAATAATATCTGAAGTTGTAATGAAAACTCCCCAACCAAACTGTATTAATTTTTTAAACGTATAGACTAGTATTATCCTGATATAATATTACTCCCTATCTCTATTAACTGACTCAGAATATTTTTCTCTAATTTTTCTATTGAACTGGAAGCAATACTTGTTCGAATCAATCATTAGATTCTCGAAACGAGCCTCAAAGAAGATCCTCTTGTAATCGCAGCATTCACAAAACATAATCTTATATGGATTACTAAGAGCTTTTGATATAATTAGTGATGATTTAATCAAAGAATGATAATATAATATCTAATCTATGCAGTAGTGAATGCCAGGTAGAATTCCTTACAGACGAAGAAGATACTTGAAATGACAGGCATATACTTTTACTGATGAATACTGCGACTACTACGCATCGAATGTACGAGCAACGAGGAAGCAACTAGAAACTACAAAGATATTGATTGGTACAATTAGAAAGACAAGTGCAATTGCTGAGGCATAAAGTGTGAAAAATTTGCATGGAGAATTGAAAACTCACATGGCATACTGAAGGTAAAAAGGTTTAGGGAAAACAAATAGTAATCTATTTAACAAATTTGTGGAAATAGGGAACAGAACAAAGACAAAACGGGATTATAGAAATGTCAACAGTTTCTTATGACAAGAATTTAGTGTGACTGCACCCTGGGAGTATTTGGCAGATAAAAAATGAAGAAAAAGTGGGTGCTCATTTACATTGTAAACTATCCACTTTTCATTGTCTTCATTTCTTGTCAAAATGACACATTTTCGTGTGCAAAAACAAGATTCAATAGGGTTTACTTTTCGGTTATCATATGTGGTTGGTTTGTTGGTTTGTTGATTGATTGGCTGATTTTGTTTAGCGGCATATCAACCTC